AACCGCTACATTCATCCCCCTTTTCTTTTCTCCCCACCCAGCCTGTCTCTCACCCACTGACTCCTCAATTTACATCTTCACTGACTGCCTGTCTTGCATGTATACCGGCCCAGTCTTCGACTTCCTTACTATTCATTCCACCCAGGAAGACCACACAGCAACAGCAGCAGCTTCCATCAGTCTGACGAAGGGTTTTTTAAACCCAAAAGTTTGCTAATTTTTTTTTCCAACTATATAAGTTGGTCTAATAAAAGATACCAGATTTACCCAAAGAACCTTGTCTATGTCCTTAGACCAACTTAGCTGCAACCAACACTCCTGTAGCCCTAGAAGTTCATCATTATATATAACACAACATATTTTTTTCTCCAGTTAAAAAGAAACTAGAAGCTTTACTTATCTGCTAGGGGCCTAAAGCTGTATTATTCAATTTAAGATTGAAGCAAAAACAACTATAACTTAACTGGTAAAAGCAATCTGCAGGGCTGTGAAATAGGAGCTTCCTTACCACGAACAACTAACAGACAACAGAATGGCAGAACAAAGGCTAGCTTGACTGGTGGACATCAAGACCATTAAAAAGAAGAGAGGACCATTTGCACCTGTGGAATGAAGGGTTTTGAAGGGATGAGTAGATTGTAATGTGCCATGAAGGCAAGTGACTCTCTCAGCACTGCCTGACTGGAAATGCTGCTGCCACTGCCAGGAAGTGCAGTTTTCAGCTTTGGGTGGAGCAGAAATCAAAGCAGGGGTGCAAGTGTACCAGTGCCCCCCACCCTGGATCTGCCCCTGCCTCTCTCCCAAGCTTAAGCTGGGCAGTGGCAAACATGATCCACCACCCCCTGTCACCACCTAGAATCAAGGGGACAATGGGATAGTCACTAGTGGCACTGCTGAGCAGAGCATCAGCTGGCTGCTCGCTGTCTGCACCAGCTGTGCTCTGCACTGAGACATAGGAACCATAGCATGGAGAAATGCCCTGGGGGCAACAAGAGAAGGGACAAGCCCCCACCTGCCTCCCACCCCATTCTCTACAGCAGCCTCTGGTGGTAAGAGAAAACCAGTTATCTCAGCTTGAAGTTACGGTCTTGAGAATTCTTGTAAGGCTTCCAAGAGGCCAGGCCTACAGATCACCCAAATGGTTAGACAGGGTTGAGAACTGAATGCAGTACCTTTCACCTCTTTATCATGGCTTTGAACAATAAATGTACAGACATTACAAAACTTAACAAGAACACATGCAGAGTACAACCAGACTTAACAATGCTCCTCTGTAACATGGGGCTTTCCACCCATGCATTTGCAATAGGGAATCATTTTCTTCCTTTTGCATATGGATAAAGCCCATATTCCCTGGGGTTCATCAGACTCTAATTCTATTATTAGAAGCCAAAACACTCCCCAAGCTAACGGCCATAACAGGCTTTTGTCAAATCCTTACAAAAGTAGCTCTGTCATTAAGTTACACCACATTATAGTCAGTGCCTTGTTTGAAAATCCCTTGTTTTAATTAATACCTATTCAGTGTGTTTTCAGCACTGGAACATTTTCTGAGGTGATGCTCTCAGAGTGTGAAAGGATTGTACAAAATCTTGAACAAGAGAAAATGGAAATTCAGGGAAAGAGAGTCAAGCAAAATAAAAAAAGAAGGTGGTTCAGTCAAAAGCCCAAGGTAAAAGCAAGGAAAAGGGACAAGTCTAGGGCCAGACAGATTTGCTTAAGGTCAAAAAAGGAGAGGAAGAGGAGAAGCCTGAAGATATGTAGAAGAAAAAAAAAAAGAAAAGGCAGTCTAAAATCCAAAGGGAAGAAAAAGGGCAAGGTATGAAGTTAAAGGGTTAGCTCTTGATCTCAGTGAGACTAATGGCAAACTCCCCTTGACTTCATTGGATGCAGAAATTTATCTAAAGAAAATAAAGGCTTTCAGTGTGTTAATAGAAAGCCAGCTGACTATGAGGCAAAATAATCCTCTCAGCAAGCCTGGAGATTCAGATAATCTGCCTGGGTTACCACTAAAATGAAATTAAGCATTAGGAAGTGTTTCTGATGGTGATGAGTGATGGCATTTCAAGAGCGAGGTCTAGAGGCCTCAATACACTAGGCAGGCAATGCTGACTCAAGAAGTACTAAACCCAAAGAACTGAAATTCAGGAGTTAGACCCCCCCCCTGCAAATAAAGAAAGAAAGAAAGAAAGAAATCAGGAGATTGGCTCAAAAAACACAAGGTTCTTTTATACAAAGATTATGTGTTTTGTGGTGTCTTTATTCTTGACATCTGCTGTCCATCCCCAATCTGTCTGAGAGAGACATCTGTCCATCCATACAACTAACATTTGTCCAAAGTCAATTATGTCCCCCGAGTTCCTGCATGGTTTCTGCCCTCCACAGTAAGTCTGTCTCTTCCCTAGTCCTAGCATCTGTCTAGTGATCATGTAGCTCCCAGCAGTCCTACCCACTTTCCCCCACTCTGCTTTCCTGGGTTCTTCACACACACACCTTTCAAGGCTGGGAAGCAGCTTTCACAGGGATACCTTTCTCTCCTTAGTCACAGAAAGAGGGGAGAAGACAAAGAAATCCCAGTTGATCATACAAAGGGGAAGTGGAGTCACCTTAAACTGCTGGGTTCTTCCTGCTCTCTCTCCCCTCCCCTTCCCTTCCCTTCTCTCTCCTCTCCCAGGGAAAATGGTGTGGAGCTACTGAGGGGATCCCTACCTCCTGAACAGCTAACTGGTTGTTATACCCCTGGCAGGCTGGCACTGGGACAAGCAGCTACTCAGAGGGCTTCCTCCACTACTGCCCAATCAGGGTTGAAATTAGCCAGAAGGCTGGAGTATCCAACAAAATTATTATTAGTTCCCTCCCCAGCCCAAATCATGTAATAGGCAAGAAAAATGTAATAATAATAAGACCTAGCAAAACCCTTGCCCCTGCATTGCTCCTGGGTTAGTACTAACAAAGTGCTTGCCTCTCTCAAGAGGTCTTCTCTGTATTCTTTATTTCTGCCTTATTTGGAGGGGAAGGGCAGCCTCATAATTGAGTACTGCACTGGAACTCCATAGATTTCCCTGCTTCATCATACACTTCTGTTACAGCTCTGCCAATAAGGGGCTGCCCAATCTTTGTGCCCCTCTAGCCCATCTATAAAACCAGGATAATAATTCTGCCTTTTCTATACTGACAGGGACAATAAATAACTATCCTAATTCTGTAAGTGTATGTACAGGACCTAATGCAAATTGACTATTAACCTGAATCCTAGACATTTGCTGAAGCTATAAAATTAGTGACATGCAGATGCAGAGTCTCAGTACTCTGGTACAGAACCAGTAGCTCTTAGTCTATGTGGATATTGAAGGGAAGCAAAATTGTAGTCAAAATCAGATTAAGAGGCTTTCTGACAGACAGAAATATCTTTGCACTTGATGTGTTCAAGAGCCCAAACCAGAGCATGGTTCAGCATTTGTTCAAATGTAGTGGGCCATTCAGCAAATTTAGGAGGAAAAAAAATTTAAACACATGTCACCCAGTTAAAGGCCAGAAGTGTCTATATACTTGGAAAACAGCAAGTCAGTGATCCATATCCCTTTGCAAGTACAGTGACTGCAACACAAACCACTTCAGGTTGGCAAATACAGCTAAACATTAATAACAGCAAAATAGGGTATGGCTCATATTGAAATGTGATTCCAATGCAAGTACATAATGTAGTAACTAATGAAATAGTACAGCTATTGAAAGAAACATTTTTTCAAATGCCACATGTAAAGTGCAATAGTGAAAGGGTAAGTAACTATGCTACAGTATTACAATTTGATTTAAAAATCAGTCTAACTTTCCAAATAGAAAACATACACCCCAGTACAGACAAGTTCAGTGTTCAAAAAGCATGAGACAAGAAAGCATAACATTTGCTTAAAAAAAAAAAACCAACAACAAAAAATCCAACCAAAATATTTAAAAACAAATAAAAAACATTACTACATTTAGGATTCTTTTTCTTTGGCTTTGGATTCTATGCTCAGTTTACATTTCCCAGCTTTTATCCACAGAAATTAAAGCATAAAAATGCCTTTTTTAGCTTTAAAATTCTCATGTAATCATTTGATTCTAGAAGCTCATGCTTTAGGAAACACTCTGAATATGGCAAAACTCATGATAAAATCAAAGGAGTTAACAACATTCACATCTGCTTATAAGATTAAAAACCTGATCAGTCATGGCAGTTACTCAAAAAAAAAAAAGTTTGCTGTGAAAAGCCAAGACAGCAAAGTAAGAGAGTTCTCAAATGCCTTACAAGACTTAGAAGTTAAAAATCAGAAACTTTGGCAATCTAGCCACCCAGGAAAATTTCTATTTTCTGGTGCCATAAGAAAAAAGCAGAAAATGAACTCAGTATAATATGGAGACACTGGGAGATATTGAAAAGTTAGAACCACCTATAGGGTATTTAGTTCTATGGCTGTCATTGAAAAGCCAACATATGGCTTTCTATTGACCCATATGATTTAAATAAAGCTATGAAAAATGAATGAAAGCTGCTGAAGGACAGCTAAGCTCTCAGAAGCAAAAATATTCTCAGTCTGAGATGCAGGACCAGCATTTTCTGCCAGTAAAGTTAGATGAGTCAAGCTTAAAGATAGTGATTGATTTGGATGTTATACATTTAAATGAGTACCATTTGGTATTTATTCTGTCCCCAAAGCATTTCCAAGAGTGATTGCATGGATTTAGGAGGGATTACAAGGTGTTGAAGTTCTATTGGAGGATATTTTAATTTGAACTGGGGCCTTAAAAGAACACAGTGAAATACTAAACAGGTTTTCCAGGCAAGACTGAGACTCCTAATAACAAACTTTAACAAACAGAAATCTTCCCAGTAGAAGCTATCTGCTTAATGATTCAAAAGTGATTCAGGTAAAACAAAAGAACAGTTGAAATACATATTCCACAATGAAACAAAATGCACTTTTTTATATTGAAGGTAATTAATTGCTGGGACTTACTATCAAGGGAAAAAACAATTCTCCATCTCTTGGCATCCTCAGATCAAGACTGGGCGCCTTTCTGTAAGACAGGCTTTAATCATGTTCAAATCACTTGTTTCAGGGTCTGCTCAGTAAAGTCTTATGGCATGTGTAATAAAAGAAGGTTGGATCTTATGGTCCCTTCAGCTTTAAAAATCTATGAATGGAGAGTAGATCTACAGTGATTTAAGAGGATGGTAAACTAGCAGAATTCACTTCAAGTCAGCAAATGATTAATAAATCTCTAAGGGGGTTGCTAAAAAATTGATTGTGTTTGGCACTGGGGAAAAAAGAAAAAAAAGATTCTCATTTCTTATCAAAAGTAATGAGAAAATCTGTATCAGTGACAGACAGCAGCTACATGACAGATGCCATAGTTACCAAAGTCATCAATGCACAATCATTGCATACACCAGCATTGCCACAATAGCCAAGTCCAAGCACTCATGAGCAGAAGTCATGTCAAAGTAAAGGGGTGCATAAGTAAGTGGTCAAGCTGCCATATGCCAGTTCAGTAACAGGATGGACATAAATTACTGTGTAACAGTAGAAGGTGTTATGAACTCTGTTGACTAGGCTGATAGATTATCTCAGGATTGTTCTAGGAGTTGAAATACTGCAGTTAAAGCAGGGGAAATATATCACATTACTAACAAGGACCCAATTATGTTAATACTGGTGTTAAACCTTTCAGGATATCAGTGTAGCAAATACAGTAAAATCTGGTTAATTTACTAGCAAGAAAAAAAAAGTCCAAGAGACTGGTAATGATGGCTGACTGCCCTCAAGTGCTAAATTATCAGTAGTTAGATATGTTCAACTATTCATAAGGTATATTTTTGCATGTTATATCAAGACACAGTAAAGGTAAAATTTTGGCATTTATAATGAAGAAGAGATAAATTTAAGAAAACTCAGTGTGCAAATGGTATGCACCCTGACTCACTCTATGAAAATCACATGATGATCAAGATAAATGCTTGATGTACAGCTTCTTACTATAAACATTCTGTGCTCACTTCATAAAAATGATGGGACTATCCTGGCCTAAAATAACCAGTCTAAGATTTTTGCTTTGCACTCATCACCAAAAAAAGATGATAATCTTGCAAAATGGAGTGATTGATAAGCCAAGAAAAGCTGCTAAGTAACCAGTGTTTCTGTGAGCATCAACTAGCTTGACAGGTGCTATGGAGGGCAGTACTTTTTAAGCCTACTAATTATGAGGAGCAAATGCCATTGTGATGTAGTACCTGTGTACGTTGGAAATGACTAATTACACTTTAACAGATGAGGAATTAGTTAGAATGTTTTGTGTACAAATCAATAGGACTCTGGCAGGAATTCAGTGCATCAAGTAATAAGCCCAGAGCAAGGAGTTCGCTCAGTGCCTCATTAACCAGTTCACTGTAGTTCTAAAAGCCTAAGCAGACTCAGCTGAAGCAGAGCTCATGCAGTTAATGAAACTGCTGTGCTTTCTTTTCAGCACCTGGGCTCCCTGAGAGCTCATTAAACTTTACTCTGGTGGGGTGGCTCGAATTATAGAGAGGAGTTAGCAGCGTTGATCCGAACTCAAGTAGGAATATAGAGCCAACTCGCTCAGCCCTGGGAATTGGAGAGAGGAAAGGAAAGTCGGTGAATGAGGAAGCACCTTGTACTGCACCCCAAATAACCTGTTTCTCCAAGGCAATCCATAAATGGCAATCATGGATTACGGATGGGGAATCGCACAGAATGGTGGCACGTTAAATAACTAGCGCACAGATACCACTTCCCAACCTTTGAACAAGTATGAGCAAGGGTAGAAAAGACTTTGCCCAAGAAAATTTGCACTATTGAGCCATCTGATAGAGATCCATGGGAAATATCCAAAAAGACAGGTCTCTTTGTTATTCAGGCACAGTGGGCCTACACCCACCTAGAAACTACAAGCTTCGCTTAACAGTTAGGAGGAGGCTGCTAGACAAAGAATGAAAAATCAGAAACGGGCATGGAGGTTATAGGTTAATCACTCTGGTCCCAAGGGAAAATAACAAGCAGAAAACACCATCAGTGCCCACTGTCCCCTGAATGTATTGAAGGAGCCAGTGGATGCTGTCCTGTAAGAATCAGTGGAGTCTAGTAGTAAATGGCAGGCACGGAGGTCGCATCTCCAGAAGCTGGAGCTGGGGGACTGCCAGGAAATGGATGTAATTTAATCGAGTGTGTGCTTGGCAAGGAGGGAGCCCCTGTTCCCAGTCACTACTGAGTGACAGGACCATGAAAAGCACTGGGAGCTTTTAACAATTATTTCTTCAGTATTTCTATGGGGATGTTCATGAGGGGGAAGCTAAACCTTCCCCCTCCCCCTGTCACTACCAGTACTAGCTGAAGTCAAACAACTGCTCTCAAATAACAACTAAACCCCGACTGCATCGAGCCTCCGCCCCCCCGGGCAGCCAGCTCCAGGGTCCCAGCCCGCAGTTTCTCTCGCGCATGCGCGAAGGGGCGAAAGGCACTGGGCTTTCCACCAGCCTCGGTCTCGGAAGTGTGGCAGAACACTGGAGATCGGCATACCGGAAGTGTGGCAGTACTGGAGCGGAAACCGGAACTTGGCACCCGGAAGTGGGGTCCACGTGGGTGAAACGGGGAGAATGTCTGCGGCTCTGCTGCGCAAGGGGCTGGAGCTGCTGGAGGGGACGGCTGCAGCGGGTACCGGGCCGGAGTGGGGCTGTGGCGGGGGGAGGGCGGACATCCCCTGCCCGCCCGCCTGTCTCAACAGTTCTGTTCTCCGGGCTCTAGGGCGCGGGGCGGCTCCTCCTGGACGCCGGGCCGGGCTCGGCGGCCGCCCGAAGCGGTCGGGGAAAGCGCCGCGGAGGAGGGAGATGGTTCGGGGACTCGACGGGGGCAACGCCACAGTCAAAGGCAGAGTGACCAAGTCGGCAATAGGTGACGCTCTCGTCCTTAAACCTCCCCTCAGGATCCAGCCCTGGGACAGGCTCCAGCTGGTCTGGACTCGCCCCGCCCCATTAGAATTATAGAAAATTAGGGTAGGAAGGGACCTCAGGAGGTCATCCACTCCAGCCCCCTGCTTAGAGCAGGACCATCCCCAACTAGATCATCCCAGCCAAGGCTTTATCTAGTCAGGTTTTAAAAACCTGAGGCTGGAGCTTCCACAACCTCTCTGGGTAACATGTTCCAGTGTTTTCCTATCTTCCTCATGAGAAAGTTCTTCCTGATATCTAATGTAAGCTTCCCTTGCTGCAACTTGAGACCATTGTGCCTTGTTCTGTCATCTGCTACCACTGAGAACAGTGTAGTTCCATCCACTCTTGAACCCTGCTTCAGGTAGTTGAAGGCTGCTATTAATTCCCTTCTGTCTTCTCTTCTCTAAACTAAATAAGCCCAGTTCCCTCAGCCTCTCCTCATAAGTCATGTGCCCCAGCCATTTTTCTTGCCCTCTGTTGGACTCCCTCCAATTTGTCCACATCCTTTCTGTAGTAGGGGGCCCCAAAACTGAATGCAGTACTCCAGACTTCCCAAGCAAGAAGCTTTACCCCTTCAAGTAGTAGTACCACATCACATTCCACTTGGTAACATCCTGTGTCCTACACCCCTAATACTGCACCCTCTGTCGTACAGTATATATGTACAGATGCTGTGCTGTTCTCTATCATGTTCTAGATGAGTATCAGAAGAACAAGGCTGCGAATCACTTGAAGAAGAACTTGCAGTACATGATGAATACCCGATTTGTTGCAAACAAAACCATCACACAGCAGGCAAGGGTGTTTTGGGAGTGTTTTTTTGGTAAAGGTCATAAGCAAAGAGGGTACAGTGCTGCCCCCCCTCCCCTCCCCCATACAGTTGCTTCACTTTGGAGACTGATGTTCTTCTGAAGAACAGGACGTGAAAAAAATTACTGGATTCTAGCTTGTCTTCATTGTAGAATTTTGGGGGGGAACTGTGAAATAGCTTAAATATCTTCTCTCTGGTTCCTAAAATGGCCAGTAGTGATCACACAACCTTCCACAAAGCCTCCTGTAGGATTCTGGGAAAAAATGGGGTGCATGTGATTTTTAGGGGGAGAGGCCTGAATAAAACTTAACTGGACAGGACAAGATAGATTTTGTTATCTTGATGGTATCTTTGTGAAGCGTGAGTGGTTAGTGCATAGCTTGTGTAGCTGCAAAAATTCATACAAAACAATATCATACACAGAAGTACAAGGCTTCCCTCTGTCAGCATTGTGCGCATTCTCATTGTCTGTCCTCTCCTCCTTCACTCACTCTAGAGTCGCTTAATAACTAACAATACCAATGTAGTATATGCAGAAAAAAATCATCTCCACACTTTCCTGCAAAGTAATCTTCACAAAGATATTATAATAAAATATATAAAAATTGGAGAACTCAAAAGTTGTCTTTATTGTGTAGTTCTGGTTGTTCGTTGTTGTTTCACATCTTATTTATCTTATTACAGCTTCTTGCCTGTTTTCTTTCTGCTTTCTCAAGTATGCAGCCAACTCCCCTCTTCAGTAACCCCCATCCCGTCCTTCCCCCTCTAACACACTTATTTCTCATACTCCATGGTCCCCCTCCCCTTTGTCCAAACCTGTTTTTCATTGTCTTTAGGCCATCACATCTCTTCAGTAGAATTGGAGAGTATTTCTCTGGATATTTTGGGGGGAAAGTTTAATAATTCAAGGTGCTATACCTTTCTTGTGGTGCATAGGCTTCCCCCTCTCCCCCATTCCTTCCCCCCTCAATAAGTTTTCTTTGTCTTGTTGCCAAGTACAGACTAGAGCTGGCTTGGAAACTTCATGATGACACTTAATTTTCATCAGAAAATACTAATTAGTTGAGTTCAAAATATTTCAATCAAAACAGTTTGGCATCAACCCATTTTAGTGAAAATGGACTTGAATTGAAACTAACAGCAGCTGTGAAACTGACAAGACCACCAGCATCACTAAAGAGCTATGGGTCTGGGGAGTTTTTGGCTCATAGGCAATTTAGGAAGGTTTTTGTTTGATTTGGTTCCAACAAATGGAATTTCTTGCAAGCTTGAAACTACTTTTTCCTGTCACCTCCAGAAAACACGCACAAGAGGGAGAAAACTTGCTTTGCTTTGTAAGCACTAAAGAGGAGGCTGTGATTATCAGAGCTGCAAAGGGCATTAGGGTTTGAGCCAAGATTAAAACAGAACTTCCTTTCTCTATCCTAAGCTTCCTCCATTCAACTACTTGTGTCCACTCTACCCTGCAGATAGAGGCCATGTATTTTGTTTTAGTGAAAAACATATCTGTTGCATGCAGTAGGCCAGTGACCAAGTGGGCATTCTTAGCAACCTGGGCACAGCTTTCCATCCATCGTGGACTTATTCTACGGTTTCCCTACAAAGAGATGGCCTGATGTTGCCTGGGTTTCAGGAACACCAAAACAACCCAGAGACCTGGGAAGCTGAAAAGGAAACTTAATTATATGGATTATTTATGAGAAGTCTGTAAGCTTTCAGTCCTGGCAGTCAGTTTCTTTACCAGGCTTTTTCAGCAGCAAAACACTAACTGAGGCTAGCTTTGACATTTAATTCTAAAAACCAAGTGGAGTCTGGCTTTCAGTAGCTCTAGTAAAGACACTTTTCCCCCATAGTTCTCTACTCAGCAAGCATTCTCAGGACTGAAATACCCATGGGTAGTGCAGGTCATGTAGAGAGTCGCTGGCAGTTTAGACTGGATCTGGGGCTGAATTAATCATGAGGATTATTATTGGGGTATAATGGCCTGTCTCTTTCTGTCCTTTGAAGGTTCTCACCCACAATCAAGGCAGGAAATCTAAAGACCGTCCTCCAGAGAAGCCAAAGAAGAAGTCTGAAAGCACAGTCTTCACTGAAGAAGACTTCCAGAAATTTGAGAAGGAATACTTTGGGAAGGCTTAAGCAGCGTGAGAAGAACTCTTGCCATTTCAGCTTCTCCAAAACTGAGTACTTGGAGCATAGAACTGATCCTGTCCTGTTGCCTGAGGTGGGAAGCAAACAGAATGCCTTTTATTTGCAAACATTTAGATGGCACATCAGCTTGGGAGCTCTTGTATCCCTGCAGAGACTTTATTTGTATAGTGTGGGGTATGATGCTGTAGAGTTGAGACAGCAGCCCTGCGAATCATCTTGCCTTTAAAGTCCATTATGTTTCTTGTTACCCACTTCAAGCCTGTACTTACGTTCTTCTGGAGGAACATGGCAGATTCTTCATTCAAGCTAGATGTAAAATCTCTTCTGTGTGGTTCCACTCATTAGCTGAGGACAACTTAAACTACTGTATCCCAGTGGATAGATCCCCAGGAGGTAGTTCAGAAATGAACTCTGGATCAGGAGTCATCATCAGAACAAGGGAAAGGATATTCCAGGAAGGAGGAAATTTGGACACAGTTTCTCTCTGTGTATTTAGAGTGTCATCTCCATCATTGCAAGATGCTGTGTATTTTTACAGCACTTGGTTAGTGCTGTAACAACACTAGCAGTTAATGGCCTTCCTTGCTTTTGTGGTGGAGTGGTAATAATGACAGATTAAACTGGTCAGTCCAAGAATAATTTTCTTCAGGCTGTTTTAGAGTTTGATGAAGGTCCTCATGAACAACTGGTGTCTCCTGAGACAGGGTAGGGGACATGCTCATTTGTAGTCAGCAGCAAGCAGGTACTGCCTGCAGATGTCAGCAGCGGTGTTGGGCAGGGTGGAGGGTGGTGAGCAGGGACCGCCCACAAGTAGCAACAAGCAGCAGTTGCCTGCAGAAGCCGGTGACCAATCTTGAGGGGCATGTGCCCCCCCCCCCCAAACAACACCTATGAAGGTCCTTTCTGTGATCCCTGTTATCATGTACATTTTTCTTTCTTTTTACTGTGATACCTGGCTCTCCATGGAGTGTTAAGAACAGAATTGAAATAATTCCTCTCTCTCTTCTCTATGGGACTCTTCATAGTCACTCCTCCCACAGCTTGTGTTAAAGCCTCATTCACATAGCATACAGCTGAACTGGGGTACATCAAGGAGACCAACCACATAAGGATATTGTTGCTACATAGAAGGGCTCATGATAGGCCTCAGCTGTCTTGTTATGAAACTGGAAGGAGTAGATATCTGTCACCTCACCTGGAGATACCAGGCCTGCCCTGCCAGAACATGGTGGCGCCACCAGTCTGCTAGATCACACCTTCACTCCCATTGGTTCTGTTGTTATACTCAGGCAGCTGTGCCACTAGAGTACAAAGTGCATTCTGGGAGGGCACCAGCTGCCAAATGGAAAAGAGAAGGGGTAGCAGAAGCCTTACTCTGCTCACGAAAGGTGAAGTAACTCTGCCAGTATACTGCAAGGTTCTGACACCTGAGAGGAGCTCTGAGCTTAAGTGCCTCGCTTTCACTTATATGACTAGCGTTGTACCAGAAAAACTGTCATAAACTAAGCCTGGGTGAAGGGAGAAAATCTCCTGCCAAACAAATCAATATTACATTTTATAGATGTTGCAACAAACAATTTGGCCAGCTGGTGGGGGTGTTGCTGCTTCAGACACATTCCTATAACCAACCTAAGTGTGTTTCTGGTGAAATGGTAACTCTTATCACAGCTTGTATCCCTTACCTTAGCCAATAGGAGCTGTGTTCTGAAAATAGGGAGAATGAGTCACATTCTTAGCCCCATACCCTCCCTGAGCACCACCCAGATCTTTTTCCCCTACCCAGTCTGCTGCTGAGCTTTCTGCTCCCTGCCCAAACTGCTGTATTGCTTCCTGTCCCATGCTCCGCTTTCTGTTCTCTGCCCTATCTACCACTGTGGTGCTTGTCCCCACCCCAGTCTGCTGTGTCCCACACCCAAAGGCTGTCCACATCACTTGTGGCACCTGTGCTGCAGATTGGCCACCCCTGTCATAGACTAAATCAGATAATTAAGCTTTCATGAGCCCAAACTCACTTTGTCAGGTGCTGTGAAAGGGCTTGCACAAAGCAAGCGGGCAGGCAGAAGCAAGGTAGAGGTGTACCGTATAAACCAACTGAATACAGGGTATTCAGTTCAGGGTTAATCAACCTGTGACCCACAGACCAGATCTGGGTGCCGGCATCATGTCATTTGGCCCATGGGGTTGGGGACCTATAAGGAGTCCCACAGGCCTGATCCCAGCATGCAGGAGTGGCATGAGGCCCCAGGGCCCAATCCTTGCATGCAGGGGCCAGCTGAGGCCACAGGGGGCTCAATACAGCCCACAGTTGAGTGCCACTGAATTAGTCCATAAAGTGTATCTCTACCCAGTCTTATACCATAGCATCTTCCTGTTGGCCCTGTTGTCCAATTGCCTGTAGTATCTTACAGGGAGCAGAGGAGAGTTGGATGGTAAGTCTGGGAAGTTGAGGGGTTTGAACTGGCATTTTGTACTGATGAAACGTAGGTAATTCTGAGGATGAGCATCTGTACAATGTGTGTCATTTGGAAGTTCTGCAACAGAATGTGGAAGGGAAGCTGTGGTCACTGGCACACTTCCCCTCTCTGCCAAAAGGAGAGGAACTAGAGTGGCCCAAAAACTAGTTCCTTTATTTCAAATTTGTTGATGCAGAAATAGAAGAAATGCATGAAGAAAAGTAGTAATTTCGTCGTCCCCCCCCCGCCCTTTTAACTAAAAGAGCAGTTTGCCAGGTCTCAAGCGACATTTTTAATTTTCAGTGCTGTACAAAACCAGCCCGCCTGCTACATACAAAGCAGCAACACTTCTCCGAGTATAACCTAAAAATACTGCATGTCTGGCTGGTTGTTGGCTCCCTAATAATTATGGTGCACAACTTTTCACAGAAAGGGCAAATGGATGACATGGCTCTAAGTTTTCTCAGCCTTACCCTTGCTTCTTGGAAGGCCTACTGCAAATCTTTTGCCCAACAAGACTACCTGTCTTTCTTGTAGACCTTGGGGTGCTTCCCCTCTGCAAAAGATGGAGCAGGCTTTAAGTTGCTGTGATCTGTGTGCAGTGGAGGTCAAAATCATGACTGGGACAGTGTAGGATTATAGCTAGAAAAGTGCTGGGACCAATAAAAATAACAGCGTCTGCTGATATTGGGCTGCTGCGAGTGTTATTCACATAGGAAGGCTGCACTAGTTCAGCATCTAGATTTGGTTTTAGTTTACATCAAATTTGTGCAGACATGTGCGAACTAGAGGTGCACCAGTATATCAGTTGTCTCTCTGATCAGCACCAATAAAAGGGGAAATGACATCATCGGCTATCAGCTTTTTTTTGGCTGTTGTAGCCGATAATGTTTACAGATAATTATGCCTTCTGGCCAGGGCCTCCTCTCCCCCGCAGGGCCAGCTTCCCGCCCCCCACCCCCAGTGCTGGTGTTCCCTTGGGAAACAGCAGGCTTCCCCTCGCAGACAGGCACCATTGTAGCTTTCTGGGGGCACCACATGCATGCTTGTGACTGCACACATGCAAGTTGCCAGGAATACAGCCAGGGAATGTGGAGGGCAGCTCCCACTGGAGACTATGGAGGGGAAGGGGTGTGGTGGGGGTGCAGATTGAGGCCCCAACGGTGAGGGAGGGAAAGAGGCAGGGGCTGGGAGTGTTGCCCAGCCAGTGCAGTGCATGGGACCCAGGACCAGGATGGAGCCATGGGCAGCTTATACGGGGGTGGACAGGGCAACTTCCCGCCACTGCATACCCGTTGAGGGAGGCATGGTAGGCATGTGCATCCTTGGATTTGTGCATGGGGCAGATGCGAGACTCTCTACTCTGCTGCTTTTTTCTTGGGAGCCCCATGCTGGCTGCACACCCCCTGCCCTCACAGCAGCAGTAAGGGCAGCAAGCTCTGTGCCCCCTGCTGCTGGGTGGGTCGTACAACCCACTGCCACCAAGCAGGCAAGGAGTGTCCAGCTGGCATAGGGCTTCCTGGGGCAAAGGCTGCAGAGTGGAGAACCTGAGCCCAGAGCATGCAGCCCACATCTGCCTGAGTCCCACTCTGCTCTACTCCACTTAAAAGCATCCCCACACTTAAGGCTAAACTTCATTAACTTTGGAGAGTTTACCTCCTTCCCAGCCAGCTTGTGAGACCGGTTTGCTCCCAATGGGCCAAAGCTCAGGAATGCAGAAGAAGGAACTCTGGCCATTTAAATAAAGCTTCTCAAGAAGGGCTAGCTGTGCAGAGGAAGAGAGGAGTTATTTCATTTCCTGAAGAGAAGACAGGGTAGCTGAATAAGCATGCAAGATACAGTCAGAACTGAAGCTTTAGAATGCCACCGCAGGGGAAGTCAAAGCCTGAGACTGGATGCCTGGAGAAACGTGCACTGACCAGGGAGGAAATGGGGGCAGCCATTGATGTCAGGATAACACTTATTAACTGGTAGAACATCGTGTTTCATTGTCCCTGCTAACTGTGCTCTTTTTGCCTGCATTGGCTGCCCTCAGCACAAGTGTGAAAACCTCTTTAGGCCTGCTTTGTTCTAGCAAGTGTAAAATAAAGGCCTGGCCCCTAACTTCACTGAGCAGAACATATCAGCAAGTGTTCCTCCCTGTTCCAAGGCCCCTATCTCTGTAAGCTGAGGGAACAGCTTGTTAGAGGGTGGGGCCTCTGGGCATGTAGGACTACACCCTATAAAATAAATGAAGCATGGAGAGGGTCACACAGGTAAAGGACGGCTCTGGAACAGAGAAGGCAGGGTTAGAACAGCCTGTCACCTCTTGCCAAAGCTGTCCCAGGCTAGGACTGGCATGCTCACACAAGGAATGGCAGGGGTGGGCATGGAGAAGGGAGCTTCTCAGTAGTTTCTCGTTCCATTTGGCCTCCGCTGAGAGCAGCAGAAAAGGCAAGAGTCCTAAAATATCACCTTAAACTTGACAGAAAGCCAGCAACAGTTGAACCTGTCCTGCCACATTCCCCCATGCTCTAGCTGTGAGCTGCCACAGAAGTATGATAGTGCTGCATGGCCAGTAGTGCATGTTGGATGAGCTCACTGTGGCTAAACTCCTGGCTTTATTCCCAGCTCTGCGACAGTGACCGAGTACGCTGCAGCAGAAAATATAGATAGCTAAAACTTGGGGGAGTGCCATCTTACATACATTTCTCCACCCATATGGTGCAGGAAGGAGAGAGGGTAGCTAGCTGCTAGTTTAATACAAATGCAAATGGAAGGCCAAAGCACTGACACAGCAGACCTTTCTCGAAAGAGGTTATGCAGGAGAAATACCCTCCTCTCCCAAATGATTAATACTGGTGTAGCCTCCTGCAAACAAGATCCATAAAATCAGTTCATGGTCTTTTTCGCCTCAGCGCCACACAAATGAGAAAAACTGTTCGATTTGGTGTTGACAGATGCAGGCTTGCCTACACTGAATTGCTCATTCCTTTGCCGTGTTAAACTTACTCACTAAGCCTGGAGTGTCATCAATTCCAGATGGCTCTGTGAAAGCCTCTTTGATAAGCAGCAATAACCTGTGTTAGGCTATGTAAGAGAGTGAAAAAATACAGGAACAACGCAGTTACGCAAATCAACAGGACACAATCATGGAGAATACTGAAAGGGCAGAAACAGAAGGAGTATGAAAATGGTAATGGG